CATTTTTAAGACCTTTGATAGAATACTAATAAAAATTGATTATCATTCTGACAGGCAGCTGAATTGATTTAATTGTTCAAATTTTGCAAAAGTTAATTTGTTTTTGATTTAATGACCAATGCTAGAAGGTGTCCTTGGATCTTATAAAATTATATATTGAGAAAAGATATTTTAATTAATTTATATATTCTGATAAAACGCATAAATATCAAAACACCGAAGAAAGCCCCTTGAAGTTTGCGTTAGATTTATTGTTTTCGCTCGTCTGATGTAAAGAGGGATTTGATAAGAAATTTGTATCTGTGCGATGGCGTGATATTATATCGAAATTTTGTCTGCTTTTGTCAGAGGTCATGGATATTGGCAATCACTAGTACCCAACCAGTGTATAACTTTACTAGGTATTTCTGTTAAAGCAGATAAGAGTAGAGTAGCGTCATGTCAGGGGGGGGGGGTTTCTGAATGTTATCTCTTTGCACTGTGTATGCGTGTGTGAAGATAAGTAACTTGTTTCAAAGTAATTATGAATATTCCTTTCAAATCGATTTTCGATGCTTTTTATGGTTCCCTTTTCATATATTCTTCTTCGGTACTCTTATGTTTACATGCAACATTTTATTGCTGCATTGAATTAAAATCCTTCGAAAGTATCAATTTTTCATTGAAATTATTAACAGGAGTTCAGTTCAAAAGTTGAAAATAAACATTCCACCTTTCTTAACACCATTATTGGTATGCTGCGAAGGCGTATTTGATTTTAATTCATTTTTTCAGAATATTCGGGTCAAAGAATGATTTGCCATGCAATAGAAAGTTTCTAATACTGCAGCAAGATTATGAAATTCAGATATTGAATTCTTGAATAAATAACAAGTCATATTCCAATCCTCACGGTATTGATTTTCGTCAGCCCATCTTCACGACATTTTCTAACGGCGTCCTCTATCTTCGATTCCACTGAAAGAATGAGCCTCTTTTATTTGGCAAGTCTACACTTTCCCTCTCTCCAAGGGTCATTCTTAAGCCTGATGATATGGCAAAAGTGGTGACGGATATGTGGCATAGCTAATGAGTTTCAATATCTTTAACTTGTTAGCTGACAAGTATTTCAGGGTAATATGTGAAATGATCAATGCTATCTTTATTTATTTGCATTTAGTTATGCAAACCCACGAATTAAGAGCTGCCCTTCTTATGCTTCAATAGATATGAATACGGTTGGTTCACGCATAGAAAACGTTCGTTTCATCGTTTCAACCGAAAAAATAATCACACGCCAGTTTTTAATTATCAAAGAAGTCCCAATTTTTTCGAAAATAAAATTTACGCTTTCACTCACATTTGCTAACAGCGCGTTATTAATTATCCCCAAAGAGCCAAAATGGGACTATTTCTGTTCTTTCTACGAAAAAGCTGACGTTTTGGGAAAAAATAGGAAAAAAGCATAATTTCAACTTTCTTTCTTTCCCACGGAGGAGGAGGTGAAGGCCATTACAATAAAAAGTTGCTGTACGTATAGGCATTGTTTATCTACCCATCGTTAGCATGCGAATATTCCATTAATCAAGATGGGGGAGAAATGTAATAAATTTTTCTTCCCAATGATTTTTGTTTAATGTATTTTTTTTGCTTCAATGAAAAAATGTTCCACTGTCAATATGCGCTCCTTTTATTAAAGTCCCAAATTCTGGCCTCTAGGGTTTGTGAATACACCCAGTACTCAGGAAAAATTGCACACAAACGAATCGCCAAGTTGAAATGTCATTGTTTTCTAAAAGTACAACTGCCTATAACCTTGCTTGCTGATTTTGCATTTTTGGTATTCCTTCGTAGATTAAATACTTGCATTTATAATTTAAACTATTTGTATCAAATGGCAGGCATCTTGATGGTTATCATTAGCCCTTTAGTTGACTTCAGGCTTTACAAAGGGGAGGAGGAACATCAAATTAAAAAAGTCGACAGGGAGGGGGAACGAAAGAGTGTTTCAAAGATGTAAGAGACAAACACAAAGGTAGAACAAAGGTGAGGTGAGTACTGTGTAAATAGTCGAATATGGCATAGAGTGAGGTGATGGTAGTTTGACGTCAGAAGTCAACTGCTGGTTAATAGACATTTTTGCCGTATGAGTATACGTTGCCCAGGGTGCACCACGTGGAGGTAAGTCTATCGCACATCTCCGTTTATTATTATTATTATTAGTCGATGTTATTCATGAAACCCGAAAGTTATCTAAATGTACCCACTTTATTATTATTTTCAGTTCCATGTTATGTGGACTTCTACCATTCGGCAGCGTTTTCATTGAACTCTTCTTTATTTTCAACGTAAGTGCATTAGATTCGCAGCATTCGAAACTATAACTTCTTATTTCAATTTGTATTTTTTTTCAATTCTTTTTTATTGTTTAGGCTTTGTGGAATCGTCAAATATACTATCTGTTCGGATTTCTTTTCATTGTCTTTATCATCCTCATTATCAGCTGTGCCCAGGTCGCTATCGTAACCACCTACTTCCAACTTTGCAGTGAGGTGAGTATGCCCAGTTCATTTCACTTTCCAACCAAATTTCTCCTACTCGATAACTTTAATCATTTTTGTGCCAACATAAAAGCTAATTCTATTTAATATTTGGTTAAGTTAATTAAAATTTTAAATTACATTAATTTCAACAACTATGGTAAACTTTAATCTTTTTGAGTTGGAATTTGGTAGATTTGCACCGTATACTCGCCACTCAAACACCCCAATGCACATTCCTCGATGGGCCAATCGAGTTATACTTTTCAAGTTCTTTGTGCCTCTCCAACACGTGACTTCATTGACATAATTGCGCCTATCTCACGTCTCCGGTGTTAAAAGTGTCTTTAATCCAACAGGAAATAGTTGTCTCTGAGACTATTTTGTGTGTGTGTGCGTGTGTGAATTATTCATGAATTTTTAAGTGAGTGTGAGAGGTCAACTCTTGCTCTCTCCGCTTTCGTGACTCATCGCCAGTTTATCCTGATTTCTAAAATCTCTCTCTCTCTATGGTGTTCTCAGGTTCAATAAACCAGCCACTCTAACCTGTTAATGCGGCACATTGAAACGCATCCACTTAAGAAATAATTGCACTTGTAATTTAACAAAGATTCTTTCTTTACTTTTCAAGGGTTAAAACCGTGGGAGTCTAGAGTAATTTAATACCTATTATAATATGGTGGAAGCATTGGTAATTAGCATATTGCCCCCAGCAGGAACTAGCAAATAACATCATTTTTAATCAATAATTAATTAAATATAAATGCGGAAATACAGAGAGACAGATGGTCGGTTTTAAGGACTTAAAGTGCTGGTGATTTTCTACTTGTTTTTTGCGTTTAATTAATGGAAATAGCAGCAACGTTTTCCTTTTGCAAGAACAATTTCAATTTGAAATAGTACTCGATCTCGATTGCGGCATTTGAGGTTATCTCAGAACGGATTAATGAAGACGATAGTAAGAGAGTTGGAATCGATTAGCATCAGTAAAGGACGCTCAATTATAACTAATCGGTTTTATATTCTAAGCTAGGGCTAATGATAAATATCACAAAGCCTGTCATTTGAAATAAATAGATATTCTAAGCTCAATTAGTTGCTTAGTGTCCATTCGTGTTGAGTTTATTAACCCCATTTTTGTTGCGAATTGTAAATATTGCGCATTTCTTTACATTTCAGGATTATCATTGGTGGTGGCGATCATTTATCACATCCGGTGGTGCAGCGGTCTACCTCTTTCTCTACTCCATCTACTACTTTGTTACTCGGGTAAGTGTTGCACTTCTTTCCTTGCTAGTCTCTATTGAGGATGTAATTGCATTCATTCTTCTCTTTGCGTAGTTGGAAATTACGAGTTTCGTGTCGACGTTGCTTTACTTCGGCTACTGTTCCATCATCTCTTCGACCTTCTTCATTCTCACTGGAACCATTGGCTTCTTCTCAGCCTTCACATTCTTGCGCAAGATCTACGCAGCCATCAAGATTGATTAAA